GATGGCTTGTCTCCTCTTTGAACTGGTATTGTGTCTCCCATCTGTTTGAGCCTTTGTTCCCTGCAATGTTATGTATGTATTGTTATACCCCAGTTCTTTAATTGGACAGATCTGAATAACGAAGGAGTCCGTCTTTCTGCATTTTAGTGCTGATTTCGAACCTGTGGTAACGCTAAAGGCCTTTTCACACCGAACGCGACGCGAATAAGCGAGACGAAAAAGCGAAAAAAACGCAGGCGAATTTGACGCACCAAAAGTATTAGGCAGGTGTTCATAAAGCACAAAATATCTGTTTGGATTTATGGTAAAACAGAAATTACCATCTGAGAGAACGTTACTGCTCAGTAAAATGTTTAAATGAACTTCTAATGGGGGGAAAGCTTTGGTTTGACATACCAGTATTTTTCGCAGAGGTACTGGAAGTAGTACATGTATCCGCCTGTGGCAGGGTTTTGAGCGTATTCGGCCTCCCTCTTTCGGGCATCAGTGATCGGCAGCAGGTCTCCGTGGTACTCCACCACATACTCGCCTTTCTGGAAACGCCGAGTGGCAAACACTGCTCTCCCCTTTCCTTCTATTTCTTTCACCTTGACAAACACAGGAAGGTTTTCTGTGAGGACATACAGCTGCAAAGCTCATTAAACTCAATGCACAGAACACAGAACAGATCAGGTCTCAATATAATGTTGTTTTTGTCCATTTTCCTGTACAAGTGTACATACTTACTAGACATTGAGTTCCATCTTTACCTGTTCTGTGGCTGATAAAATGAAGTGCCAAGTGTAAAGTGTACTGTTAAAAGAACCTGTGGTAACGCTAAGACTCAAACAGACCCTAACCAGGACCAGGCTGAGCTGGAGTAGACGTTTCCATTTATGAAGAGACACTTTGCTAATAATGCAACGTTACAAAACATGGAAACAGAAAACTCAACATACCTCCATTCCTTTTTCTTTTCCCTCTATGATGAGATCATCTATGCGCTTCTTTTGTTCGCACTGGTAACAATATCTCCCTCTATGATGAGATCATCTATGAGCTTCTTCTTTTGTTCGCACTGGTAACAATATGGAACAAAATGAGATGGCATTACTGAAACAGAGCAGATGGATTTCTCTCACACACATCAGAAAGATCCTTGTTGGGAGGAAAAACAAACAAAACTGCACAGCCACAGGAGTGTGCTGGCCCAGACAGAAAACGACCCTCCCTGTTTGAACACTCGTTTTTCAAATGACTGAAGTCCTCGTCCTTTTCTCACAAAAGTGAAATGTGACAATCTCCAATCATAAAAGCTCCCACACTTGTCATTTTGCTTATGAGCAGTACATTAATCTCACCTTTAGCTCTGTTTTACTTTTTCTTGAGCTCCGTCTTATTGGATAGTAGTCAGTAACTTTCCGGTTTGAGGAGCTTTTCGCGGCTGCGCTGTCGTCAAAAAAAGGAAGAGAACAAGAACTATCACAAACATGTCAACAGCTCCTACGTGATTATGTAATTTGTTCAGGTTTCTTCCTCGACTGCAATATTTGTTTAACATTTGCATGTTGCAGAGTTAGATTCATAAAATAAAATGCTCCATAATTCCCCAGCTACCCAGCAGTATGTAAAGTATCTCATAGTATAAGTATATAAGGTAGTTAACATCAGCTCCACCTTTACCAGCATTAAAGTGATGATCACAGTCATTATGAGTAGTATCACATATAATGATGTGAAACAGCCAGTTCTACAGAATGGCTACGGTTACCACTCTTTACTTTTACTTAAGTAACACTGAATACAGGACTTTTACTTGCGACTGAGTATTTTTACACTACTTTTACTTGGGTAAAAACCCTCTGGTCCTGCATACTGTGTAGCCAGAGGGCGAGACATCAAAGTGAATCAACAGTACTGAGCGAACACCGCGGCCCTGCGTACGTTCTTCGAGGCGGTCTCTTTCCTTTGGCCTTGGGCCGGACGTCTCTCCTCTGGTGGCTGTGCAGAGCACTGCTGTTGTTGTGGTGGAGCAGACTGGGAGAGCGGCTCATGCCGAGAGGGAGGGAGGGCTCGGCGGGGGAATGGAGGCAGTGGTGCTGCGGAGGTGGTGGCTGTTCACCTATTCTGCAGGGTGCAGACTGGCTCTTTGAATCTTTAGGTGTAGTGCTGGTGGTGTTTGTTCCCCTACCTGGGAGGGTGAAGAAAGGGTTGGTGACAAAGCAAATACATATCACTGTGTTTCTAGATCTTCTCACTTCCTATTCTTACATAATCTTCTGAAATGCAAACAGACACAGCGCTCTGTTTGGTCTCCTGTCGAGTGTTTACACACTCCAAGTCCCCTCCCCAGCTGCAGCACTGACACTCACCCTCTCCCTGCCTCTGAACATCATTTTGCTGGGAGCTGATTGGAGAGCACCTTTCCTCTGCTGTCAGCGTGATCGTCTTTGTATTGTGAACTGATGATGTGGGTTTGGTGCTGCTAGGGACAGTAGCCAGATGGCTGGGAACCTCCTGTGAAAGGAGAGAAATAAATGTATGCCGTTTAAGTTCCACATGCCAAAACCTAGGTCAAGGTGTTCACGTAGAGGAGAGTGTATTGTGCTGCTGTGCATTAGCCTAGTATTTATTCCGTCCTCTTATCAGTCATCTGTAAAACACTAGCACAAACTGTATGAAACATACCTTACAAATAAAGTTTACATTCTTTGTTGTACTGATGTCTACCTTATGTTAAACCACTCTTCTTGTGTTATGTCTTTCTTCTCTCGCGAAGCTTTAACATTTTGTGTAAAGTTACATATACATAGACTTTAACGTTACATGTCAGATCCCCTCAAACTAAAATACATGACAACAACCGTTTTTTAAACTATGACACCGATAAAAATGACAAATTCATGTGTTTCTTTCTGCGTCGAATGTCAGAAGACGCTGCTACGTGTCCTCAGCAGTCAGGCGCACACTAGGGGCTAATGTTAGCGAAGCACTCCGGAACAAAACGGCTCATTTGTAGCTAGTGCAACCCCTCTAACTTATACAAATACGAGGTACTTACAATATTACTTCTCTCATATATACGTACACACAGGAACCTCAGTCTCATTCTCAAATAAAGTTAAAGTGATGATCACAGTCATTATGAGTAGTATCACATATAATGATGTGAAACAGCCAGTTCTACAGAATGGCTACGGTTACCACTCTTTACTTTTACTTAAGTAACACTGAATACAGGACTTTTACTTGCGACTGAGTATTTTTACACTACTTTTACTTAGGTAAAAACCCTCTGGTCCTGCATACTGTGTAGCCAGAGGGCGAGACATCAAAGTGAATCAACAGTACTGAGCGAACACCGCGGCCCTGCGTACGTTCTTCGAGGCGGTCTCTTTCCTTTGGCCTTGGGCCGGACGTCTCTCCTCTGGTGGCTGTGCAGAGCACTGCTGTTGTTGTGGTGGAGCAGACTGGGAGAGCGGCTCATGCCGAGAGGGAGGGAGGGCTCGGCGGGGGAATGGAGGCAGTGGTGCTGCGGAGGTGGTGGCTGTTCACCTATTCTGCAGGGTGCAGACTGGCTCTTTGAATCTTTAGGTGTAGTGCTGGTGGTGTTTGTTCCCCTACCTGGGAGGGTGAAGAAAGGGTTGGTGACAAAGCAAATACATATCACTGTGTTTCTAGATCTTCTCACTTCCTATTCTTACATAATCTTCTGAAATGCAAACAGACACAGCGCTCTGTTTGGTCTCCTGTCGAGTGTTTACACACTCCAAGTTCCCTCCCCAGCTGCAGCACTGACACTCACCCTCTCCCTGCCTCTGAACATCATTTTGCTGGGAGCTGATTGGAGAGCACCTTTCCTCTGCTGTCAGCGTGATCGTCTTTGTATTGTGAACTGATGATGTGGCTTTGGTGCTGCTAGGGACAGTAGCCAGATGGCTGGGAACCTCCTGTGAAAGGAGAGAAATAAATGTATGCCGTTTAAGTTCCACATGCCAAAACCTAGGTCAAGGTGTTCACGTAGAGGAGAGTGTATTGTGCTGCTGTGCATTAGCCTAGTATTTATTCCGTCCTCTTATCAGTCATCTGTAAAACACTAGCACAAACTGTATGAAACATGCCTTACAAATAAAGTTTACATTCTTTGTTGTACTGATGTCTACCTTATGTTAAACCACTCTTCTTGTGTTATGTCTTTCTTCTCTCGCGAAGCTTTAACATTTTGTGTAAAGTTACATATACATAGACTTTAACGTTACATGTCAGATCCCCTAATACACTTAAGGACAGGCACCATAAAATTTTACTTCAATACACAGTGGTTTCCACGGTGGGTGGGGTCCTGAGGAGGGACCATGCTGGCTCCACACCCCCATCGCCTCTCCAGTCAGTCCCTTTAAAGTCAGGCCTGACTTTAACGTTACATTTCAGATCCCCTCAAACTAAAATACATGACAACAACCGTTTCTAAACTATGACACCGATACAAATGACAAATTCATGTGTTTCTTTCTGCGTCGAATGTCAGAAGACGCTGCTACGTGTCCTCAGCAGTCAGGCGCACACTAGGGGCTAATGTTAGCGAAGCACTCCGGAACAAAACGGCTCATTTGTAGCTAGTGCAACCCCTCTAACTTATACAAATACGAGGTACTTACAATATTACTTCTCTCATATATACGTACACACAGGAACCTCAGTCTCATTCTCAAATAAAGTAATTGTTCTCTTTAACTGGCTTTTATTTAACTTATACTTGGCTCTGCGGTGATGTCCAGGCAAACTTAACATTACCCCGCTCATGTCCGACTTGTTTCCGTGGTTCCGTCTCAGCTTTAGCCTCCCGTTTAGATGATAAATAAATGAGGTTTTCCGCCGGTTCAGAGGTTCACTTTGCCCTGCTCCTGCGGCGGTGTCCTCCCTACACTTACCTGCTCGTCGCGCAACATACGCTAATTGGCATTTGAAACGTGCGCGCGGTCGGTATACACGGGCACGCCGCACGGGAAAATAGTTTCCACGCACAGCTGCAGCACGTTTTTGCAGGGTTATTGCAGCACGTTTTTGTTTTTATTGTGTTTCTTTTACGTGCGTCAATTGGTTTATTGACTCTTGCATATGGTTTCTCTGAAGAATGGTCTAATAATAACCCTTACAAATATGGGAATGTATTTACTGGGGCACAGCTGATTTACACTGGGGCACGTGCCCCAGTAAAAGTGGTCTAGCGACGCCCCTGCAGTCTCCGCAGCTCCTCTCCGCCATTTTTGGCCTTGCAAATTGAAGAGACGGAGCCATGACGGCCTCTGCGGGCCGAACGCGCTATGACACGTGATGGGCGAAGGCAGCCGAAGACGGTGGTGAGCTTCCGTAGAGAGCCGAAGTTAAACCGGAACTTCCGGTTTTATATGAAAAACGGACAATACAAAAAATAAAGATAAATAAATACATGAACATTTGCAAATGTACATTAAAATTACTAACTATATTTAAATACTATTAGGTTGTTTTTAAAGGTCTGAATACTTTGGCTTTTTGATTTGGGCATTTGGTATTTATTTCTAGTTGTAAATTTACATCAAAACCATTTTACAGCACAGTAAAACAAAAATAAACTTAAAAACTAATTACATAATCTTAACACAAATAAAACAGTTGATCCATGGAGCTTTGGATCATATCAGATTACCTTCATGTCCGGTTCGTTTTTCTGAGCACTTATTAAAAAACATCCACACATGTTGGTTGAAATCACATGACAATTTAGCTAATCCCATCAGTTGATGAAGCTCATGTGACATGACCAAAATTTCCAGATCATGCAGTGAGATATGATTTTGGCAACAGCTGTTCAAGAATGAACTTCTAAAATAATAAATGCCCTTGACAGGTTACTTCATTCAAATCATATGTTTAAATGAACTGTCTAATTCAAAATCCACTTACTAGCTCTTACTAGTTTTTCCTGGTGCTTTTTACCACATCTCAGACTTTCCCTCAGCAGATAATCTGCTCAGTTGTCATTTGTTCCAGAGGGAGTAAGAGATAAAGTTTAAACCTCTGAAAAAAGCCAGAAAGTGGATGCTGCGTTAAGATTTTTTGGTCAAACTGATAAAAGTCTCATAAAAAAAAAATAAAAATCTTAACATTTTAAACAGCTAAATGTTCTTAAACAATCAACACTTTACAAAACCAGGACAATTAAAATGTATCTTTTACAATCAAAAATAAAAGGAGGCTGTGAATGTATGGAAGCAAAGCTTTATTAAAACAGACATTTTTTTACACAGAATGCATCTGAAGAACCACTTCATTGCATGTCAGGGGTAATTAATCCATTAGTCTGAGTGCAGAGGGAGAAGCTGGCAGAGATAAATATCTGAAATGTGTCTGATGCTGCTGAAGAGGTTCTTCTGCTCATCGTCAGGACTCATTTGTAGAGCTGTAGCTCAGAACGTCACCACCTTGGCCTGTTTGGGTTTGGCTTTCCTCACTGGAATGTGCACCTCCTCGTGGTCTGCACTCATATTGTTGGACAACCAGCCGACTGTCATTGAGTTACCTGGACAGACACAGTGGGAAGGAGATATCACAGTGGAGGAGGAAGAATGGAGCTCTTTTTCATAAGTGAAAGTCAAAGTAAAATGGTTGCAAACAACCTCGCAGAATAAAGCAAATTCTTCTTATTGAGTGCAATCCTACTTTCACATACACTGGATAATATTGTCGGGACATTACACCAATTCTTCGTAAGCTCAGTGGAACCTGCACAAAAACAGATGTCTTCTGATGTATACACTGCACTTCATGCCGCTACATACTTGGCAAAGATGTCCTAAAGAATTGGGCAGTCAGAGATCCCAGCATTAAGCTTCTCCTCTATAATGTTGAGAATTCTCTCACTGGAGCAGAGAAAACAACATCCTCTTCCTGCTTGTCTTTCCTTTGGGGTAGGAAACTCCTTCCATTTCTGCTGGAAGCAAGATAATCCCGACTGACTTTCACCTGAACTCTGTCACAGCATATTTACATAAAGATGAGATTTCTCCATTTCTGGGTTGTCACATTGCTGGGCTTCTTTTGCCATCTTTGTTCAAAAAACCAGCCCCAAAATATTACGTGCCATGCAAGAAGCTAATGGAGTAGGGTGAACAGTGACCGGTGACTCTGGCTTCAGACTCTGTGTACAGTGACACTGTTCTCAGCCTGTTTGTTGGAAACAGGCAGCATCTCCATGTTCAGCGGTGTGGCTCACTGGTGGGGTTTAATAGCAGGTGGACAACAGTGGAGGTCTACGGCACAAAGCGATAAGCTGAACCAGGATCTGGACTCACACACCTTACGGTGAGGACACCACATTCACTGGTGCTGCTGGTCTCTGGACGGGGTTTGTGTAAAGTAACAAACACTTTCAGCCATGTGTGTATACTTTTATAACCTTTTAAAATGATCAGCATCAGCTCCAAAACCCATTAAGAATGGAACTATATTTCATGATAATGTAATTGGTAGGGGCCCTCCACTATAAAACCCAGGTGGAGTGGTGTGAGGGTGAAGCAGAGAGACTCACTTGCAGCCTGGTGCTCTGGACAGTCCTTCTGAAAATGCTCCAATGAACCACAAACCCGACAGCAGTTTCCATAGTCATAGAGCAGCTCCTCGCCCCTGAACCACAAACCCGACAGCAGCCTCCTGCACACAGACATGATCAGTGACTCTAGTACCAAGTTGTTTAATATGCAGTGTTTCATATTGTGTGTCTATACCTTGTGCATAGAGTCCTTTAGGATTATCAGGACAGGATCGCGACAAGTGTCCAGTCTGTCCACAGATGAAGCACTTAGCATACGGGTAGTCCCCTGAGACAAACGTGTTAACATTATTAAAACTGATTGCTATTAGAACATATTATCCATGTGTCCATGTGGTCCTCACCCAGAGCAGGGTCCACTTTCGCTTTACATTTGTGGATTTCATGCTCGGTGGAGCCACAGCGGTAGCAGATGCCTCGGCCCATCTCCTCGTCTCTGTCTGCGTCGGGACAGTTGGCCAAACCGTGACCAGGCTTTCTGCAGTGGAAACACAGCTGAGGAGAGAGACATCAGGAGGGATCAGAAAGGAACTGCAGATGTTCTGATTGAGGACCCGAACATAGTCTGTTTATTCAGTTACACATACTGAAAGTTGATGATTTAGACTAGAAAACTGCTCAGATATGAACTTTTATGAAAGAATGCACAACATATACTCATATAAGTTTATTTCCTTATTTTCAAAGTTAGGAACAATCCTAAGAGTAGAAGCAAAACCAAATCTTTCTGAGCTCCCTGGAACATCTAGTTTGAACCCACTCACCATTTTGTTCTTCTTGTCCTTCTGCCTCTTCATCCTTCTGTCCTCTCTCCTCTTGTCTTTTTTCAGGGCGAGTTCCAGCTCCTCCCTGAACTCCTGCTCGCCCTCCCTCCCTCCTTTGTCCCTGCTGGGCAATGGCTGTCCACTCTGCTGCAGATACTCCAGGAAGCCATTCACGTCTTCATTGGTGTAGTCTTTCTTCCTTCGGTTGGGTTTTTTCACAGCTGAGCCACTGAGCTGAGTCCTCCTCAGATGGTTCCTCTGAGGTCCTTGTTTAGCAGCAGAGCTGCGTGCACGACCCCCCCCTCCTCCTCCTCCTCCTGCTGCTCTGAGCTGACTCCATGGAGTAGGTTCTGCTGGTTTGTGTTTATGGATGTTGTTGGCTCTGGCCCACCTTGTCATGACTACACCCTCTGGTTGAGGCTAAACAAAAACTGCATTAGGTGGAAGAGTTAACAGAAATAACAACCTATAAAAAGCTCCTATTAGTGGGGTAACAGCATCCACAGACAAACCTCCACCTTATTGTTCAACTTGTTTCAGAGCACCCACCTGTCTTGTACTGATGTAGGGTGTAGAATAGCCCTGTCACTGTTGTACTGTGTGTATTTAGCACACAGTACCACCTGGTTATGGTTCTATATTTAGTCTCTGTTCTAGTGTTATTTTATTTTAACCTGCGTCACCGTTGTTACGATTTATGTGCACTGGCTGCTGTAGGGTGAACAATAATGATTCAATCTTTACTCTCAAACGACAAAGATTCTTAACTGCTCAATAGTAATTTCACTTTTCAAAGAGCTGTAGAACAACCTGCATGTATCTGCCTTGTCTTGGCCTCCTCTCTTCCACGTCCAGTAACTGACTCTGACTCTATAACTGAGCTGAACAATCCCACTGTTCTTGTCTCATGTCAAGCAACTTCGTGCACACCCTGAACATATCTGACAGCAGTGTTTTGCACTGATTCACATGCTGAAATTATGACTGACGGTGCCATTTAAAAACAAGGTTAAAAGAAACTACACAAGAAACAACTTGAAATAACGTTTCTGACTGATTTATATATTTTGGGGGGAGATTATCTTTTTCCAGTGCGACTGTATAATATCACAGGGTGTTACAGACTGTAACGACTTTAGATATAAGGTTGTGACTTGTGGTATTGAGCTATAAAATATCATTTAATCTCACTTTAAAAGCCTATTAGCATGTAAGGTGGCAGCTAGCTAACGTTACACTCCCTTAACTTAACGCTAATTTCTTAACGAAAAGCAACATTTCCCGACGTAGCAAAGCAGCATAAACAAGCATAAACAGTCCGTCATCAAAACTATTATGTCCACACAAAATATATGGTTTAAAGCAATATTAATATAGGATAAGGGAGCATTACCCGAGATTTTCACCCCATGTGTTTGTATTTCCACCGGAAACTTTCGGTCTTCTTCTTCGGTTTTATTCCCGAATCGCAATCCGTTGGAAAAACGACAAGACGCCACCTAGTGTGTGAGTGTGTTACAACAACCTGGAAGAGCTGCAGCGGAGAGTGACCCTCACTCCCTGGTCAGTTTATTAGGAACACTTAGCTCAGTCACCAAGTCAGTCGAATCCAACAGTCCTGCAGGTAAATCCTCATTTATGAAGGTGATGATGGTCAGTTTGTGTTCACACTGTTTCACAGAGGTGTCGGTTCAACTGTGCGATCACTGTGGAGGATGGAGTTTGTGCTGCTGTAAAACTGTAAGCAAGATCAGTTATGTTTGTTAAAGTGAGTTAAATGTCAGAGAAACCTTCTGCCAGTATGACAAAAACCTGAGTTTCAATAATGAGGTGCAAAACCTCTCTTGTCATTTAAGTTGTTTCTGGGTCACATCTGATAACGTTTTGAAGTTAAAAACAGACACACAGCACATTTTTAGTATCTGAAGTTGGTAAACGCACTCACTGACCAGTGATGATCATTGGCCTTCACAAAAGCCAAGGAAACACAAGTAATCAAACAACTTTAAGGGTGTTCAGTTATGTAGCAGAGATTAAATGCATTGTTAAAGTATTTTAAAGGAGAAACAGAGGCTATTTCTCTGACTATCTAAGGTAATATATTCCACTCAGAGGATGCTCTAAAAATAACTTTATTTTACAATACATTATATCTAACATGTTGAATATCAGCTCAGCACCAAACCAGTTCACACATCTCAATACTGTGTTTGTCCTGCAGAAGGCGACACACACTCTCCTGTCAAAGGTAATTTAATGCAATGAACTGTGTCTCACTGCTACCAGCGTACCTTTATCTATCTGCCATTGCCATAATACCAGGTCCCTGCAATGTTCCTATCTGCCATAATACCAGGTCCCTGCAATGTTTTGCTACACAAAATATAAAACAGGAACAGCAAGAAGAAGAAATAACATGTTCTTTTTATGTCTGTGAAATATTTTGCTTGTGGAGATTGACTCTAAGCATGTTGATGAATCCATCTGAGGTGCTAGAGAGGCAGTGTGATTTGTTATGATCATTAACGTGATCCATCACCTGGTCATGTGAAGAGATTTGTTCTCACTACATTTATATTATGTGTGAAGCCAAAAAGATCCGTGCACATGCCGAAAAGGCAGGCAGTGGATTTATGCTTTTCATGTTGACTTTCATGTGCCAAAAAAACCTGAAGACAGCTCTAATAAAAACAGACGAACTCCCGCTGAGACGTGATGCCTTCAGACGTACAAACTGTAACTGATCTCTGTCTGTCACAGAGCTCTTTAAATTCCCACACTGGCTACTGAACATTAATCTTTGTGTCTCCTGAGTGTGTACGCCCACGGTTCGGCCCCTGCAGCCCTGCTACGCATACATTTCCATTATATTAGGTATTCAGCACAGCGCTGGCTTTGTTTGCTGTTATTAAAACTGTGGTTTTAAATCAATAGGAAGTGAATTATAAACCAGCCCTAATAGTGTTTTAATTACCAAAGCCATCGTATGGAAAATCATTTGCTCAGGCTTCACTTACAAAACAAACATGGGAATGATGAAGATGTCGGCGTTGTGGGGGTTTCTTCAGCGTGTGGTGGTTCATTCAATATCCTCTGAAAGTATTGATTAGTGTTGACCACTTGGGAACAGCTCACACCGGTTAATATTTGCTCTGAAACTGCATGAGGATTATTGTGCTGCTGTAGAGACAGATGACAGATGTGTGGCACCACTGTCATCCCCTTCTGTTTAGAGAAGAGTTCATCACAAAACAGAGGAAACAAATCTGCACCTCCAGTTATTTCTTTATCATTTTCTCATGATTGTGTGTTATTGATTAATGAAAATTCAGAAAAAAATGCCTTTTTGTAGCCTACATGCTTAAAACATCTGGGGAGGTACTGTATGTTCGACTGCTCCGGACATTTTGGCTTCAGGTACAAACATTTACAAAGAAGGCAGGAGCATTTTCAGATCACTCTGCAGCATCGACCTCACTCCGCACATCATTTTTCATCTACAGTCAGAGCGTCAGAGCGTAGAGGAGAAATCTTTACAACATCTTGTATAGCTTCCAAATAATATACAAAACATTTTTATGAGGTAAATGTCAGTTAAAACAGAATGTTTAGGAAAAACAATACAATAGTAGAACAAACAAAAACTACAGCTTATTGTAAGATAATCAGCTTTGCTGTGAACAGATAAACTTGATCATTTACACATGAGTAGTAAGTTTCAATAGCAGCACAATGATCATGTGACCAAATGACCATTCAGTGCACTTCACCTTTTACACACTTTATTGTGACAGATTTCATTTTAAATGGATAAAACTGCAGTTTTTACCTCCACACTGTGCTCAGGTGTCTCCGGTGTGAGATGAGTCCAGACCCTGACTGGAGTCCACCTGTGGCAAACTGGGCAAACTGGACCCAGCGTAGAAAGACACACACCTGTGTAGTTCATGCTGCAGGTGAGGACATGAGGTCCAGGAGCTCTCTGTGGACCTCTGTGGTCAGACTGCAGTGAGGCCCAGATCAGGACCAGGGGATCAAACCATGTCTGAAGCTCTGAGCATCCCCAGGAGCACGGTGGCCTCAGTAACTGGGACATGGATGAAGTCTAGAACCAGCAGGGCCCTTCTAGAGTCAGCCTCCGACCAGACTGAGGAACAAGAAGGGCCTCAGTCAGGGAGGAGACCAAGGAGAGACCAGTCAGAACTGAGGGAAGGATGAACGCAACCAGGCACAGAGAGGTCCTGGAAGAAAACCTGAGACTGGGCCGACAGCGACCTGAGGCAAACAGCCAAGACACTGGAGCGGCTTCAGGACTCTGACTGTCCCTGAGGGGCCCAGCTGATGTCCAGACTTAACCCCCAGAGACCATCTGTGGAGAAACCTGAAGAGCTCACAGACACTTCCCATCCAGTCTGACGGAGCTGGAGAGGAATAGATGCAGATTCATTATTTGTCTCTGTCGTTGGCCAACCGTGAATGGACTAATAGATTCAGCTCTACAAGTGACAGTAAGAACAAAACTCGTCCAAATCGGACTAAAATGTATCTTACATCGTTAAAAGTTACATCCGTTTTCCTGATCCCCACATGTGACGTTGAGAGGTGCGTATTTCACCTTTAACCTGATTCCCAGAATGGAAATGAAGCGCACAGCGCTGCGCGTAAAAGAACGCGTCCTCGTTGATCAGATAACATCCACATCAGCTCCTCCATATCTCCCTCTGCGAGCCATTCTCCACAAACCGGGAGATAAAGAGGATCCCTAGCGCAGATGTATCAGTTCAGATGATCTTTGATCGACTTTTTTAGGAAACCTAGGTGTCCACTGCTTTTCTCCCGCTTTATCCGAACAGATCCAACTGGACCGATGGTCGTACAGTACATTTGTCCCGCTCCGCTCCTCATCCCTGACAGTCCGAGGAGCTCAACGCGCCCAGATCGGACTTTGTGACTCGATGTGTTGGACAGCCAGCGGTATCACCGGACACTTTGGCCTAAATGTTCTATTTTAATGTAAGAAAATGAACTTTTAAAGTTCTTGGCATGGAATGACGCGCCGACATTTTCATGTAAGTACAGATTTCACATGATTTTAGACGTATTTGGCGGATGTAGTACGAGATAATTTTATTTTTAATTTACCCTGGCGAAGTTGGTTCTGGAAAAATCTTTTGCTGTCACCCAATGCACGGACTCCCCTCTGGTCAGCCACATGTTTACTCTGAAAACATCTGCATTTCTGCTACTGAAACCCACCGTTTTGATGACTTGAACACAAAAATAGGCACTTCCAGTTTGGATAACGGCTCGAAGATGATATGACAAAACCAAGGGACTGCAGGCACATGTAGATACAAACAAGTCGAGATTTAGATATAGATGAATTTTATTTGAAGGATATGGACACCGACTACCCCTCTAGTCTAAACATCACCAGTTCCCAAACTAGAGGTTGTGCACTTTCAAAGGGTCACCAGATAAATCTGAGGGGTCATGTGATGATTAATAAGAGAAGGAATAAGAAAAAAATAAAACTTCTGATACACACAGATCTTTTACAGTTTTGAACGTTTCTTTTTTCTTTGATTAGTTTGTGTGAAAAATGAAATAATTTGACCTGTTTGTCTGAACCATTGTGTAAATAAAACCATGCATTACTGTGCCCATCACTCTAATGCTGCAGCTGGTAAAGGTGGAGCTGATGGTAACTACCTTATATACTTATACTGGGAAGTACTTTCCATCCTGCTGGGTAGCTGGTGGATTTCTTACTGGGATCAATAGAGTCTGATGGTTCTACTGGGTTTGGTTTGATTCATCTGGTTCTGGACCTGAAGGTATCAGGTACATGTAGTGTAGTAAAAAGTACACGGTTTGTCTCTGACATGGAGTCACAGGATGAAGGAGGAGGACATGGAAGTACTCAGGTACAAATACCTCAGAACTATACTTAAGTAAATGTACTTTCCAACTGTCTTCAGCAGTGTTTTGTATTTTAAAAGCTTGCGTCATTTTATTTTAAAGTAACTTGCAGTGTAGGAAAGTAACATTTACTCAAGTACTGTTTTACAGTACGTAGCTATTACGTTTATCAGCTTTAGGAAACTTCATATTTTCACATTTCTGAGGGAAATATGGTTCTTTTTACTGCACTGCACTGATGTGATGTCTCTTACTTTGCCGACTTATAATCACCATCTTTTTTCTTTACTTTATTTTTTATCCTTCCCATTTATATACATAAGTGGGTCAGAACATTAGGACCTGAACATAATGCAGTCCAGTACAACACCATCTTTAACTACAATACAAATAGTAAACTTGACACACACAGACAGACCTTATGACAGGACTGTGCCACTGGATGCAATCCACTGCTACAGCTGTGCTTGTTCACTGATTGGTAATGTCTTAAAATGTATCTCTCTCCTGTAGGTGTCCATGGTGTAGTGATCTCATGACTTCATCGTGACCGAAGCCCGTCCAGCCCCTCAGTCCGTCCTCCTGCTGGGGAAACCCTGTTTCCCTGTGGTTTACAGCAGAGACGCCCCTTTTCTGTCTCTCATTGTGTAAGAGGCCATTAACCAGGTTTCCCTGCACCACCATGGCAGCTGCTCCAGATGCTCAGTGCCTGTCACAGCTCAGTGGACTCAGCCGGAACATCACTTTCATCTCTGGCACCCAACCCTGCAACCGCAGCACCGTCAGGACCTCGCCTTACACCCCGCAGGCCACCGCAGCCTTTGCCATCTCCATCACCTTCATGATGGTCCTGACCATCGTTGGGAACATCCTGGTCATCATTGCTGTCCTGACGTCCCGGTCCCTGAAGGGGGCTCAGAACCTTTTCCTGGTGTCTCTGGCTGCAGCAGATATTTTAGTGGCCACACTCATTATTCCCTTCTCATTGGCTAATGAGCTACAGGGCTACTGGGCATTTAGCTCCATTTGGTGTGAGATTTACCTGGCGCTGGATGTTCTCTTCTGTACCTCCTCTATTGTGCACCTGTGTGCAATAGCTCTGGACCGCTATCTGTCCATCTCTCAGCCAGTGTCCTATGGCGCCAAACGTAGTCCCTCACGCATCAAGGCAGCCATCATCGTTGTGTGAAAAAAAATGTGAACTAAACAGTGAGCGCTGGTACATTCTCTACTCCACCATTGGCTCATTCTTTGCCCCCTGTGTGATAATGATTCTGGTTTATGTGAGGATTTATCAGATCGCTAAGCAGCACACTCGCTGCCCGCCAGGACAGAAGTATAACGTGGTGGCAGGGAAAGATGCCAGCATGGCAACCAATGAGCCTGCCGCCAAGTTATCGGATCAGTCCCAGCAGAACGGGGATCAAGGAGGAATGACTGCCAGCCAACGAGAAAAAGTCCGGACCAAAATGTCTGGATCAGACTCCACCCCGTCACTTCGGAAATTGCCTGAGAACACCACAAGCCAGGATGCCCAGCACTACCTTCCTCATCCAAGTACGGCTCCGGTCCAGAAGTCCTCCTCCTCTTCAATCCCCCAGTGTGACAGCCAGATCCTCTCAGCTGTTCCCCACAAAGAGCCCCAGAAATATGCAGACGGAGGGGAGGTGCTTAACGACAACATGTCCAGCTCTGGCTCTGAGCTGGATGTGGGTGAGGAAGGTGTTCTCAGAGAGGACAGCAAAGAAGAGGCCCACAAACCTGACAAGCAGACTTTGGGATTACCCCAAAGCAAAAGGTTCAAAGTTCAGGTGCTAAACCTGGCCTACAGATACAAAAACACTATGGCCACATCATCTGGCACCAAACTGGTACCCGAGGGGACACTTACCATTCAGGGGACGCCCATGTGCCGCCGTAAAGCCATGGTGAACAGGGAGAAGAGGTTCACCTTCGTCTTGGCTGTGGTGATGGGAGTGTTTGTGATCTGCTGGTTCCCTTTCTTCTTGTCTTACTCTCTTCAGGCGGTGTGTCCTGAAACCTGCAGCATCCCCAACCCCTTGTTCAAATTCTTCTTTTGGATTGGCTACTGCAACTCCTGCCTCAACCCAGTCATATACACAATCTTCAACAAGGATTTCAGGAAGGCCTTCAAGAGGATACTGTGCAGGGACACGAAGGGTACGTTCTTCTAGAGGGGAAAGTTTTTAGTGGTTTGGTGTTTGACCTGCTCAGCGGACAAGGAGCCCTTTGAAACATGACTTCTTGTTTCTGTACTTTTTGTGTTTGACCAGGATTGACCTTCTGCTGTGCCACATAAACACTTGTACATTAAGGAGGACACTGTGTCCATTTTCTCTTCTCCTTGTGCTTCTGTTAGCTGAGTCACAGCTGCACTGACAAAGGAGGACATTTCAGAAAGTCACAGTCAAATGGCCGAATCAATTATCTGTAATGACATTTAAGAATAAAACAGTGACTCTGAGGAAGAATGATTCGATTACATTTGGTAACAGAAGTCAAGAGCATACAGGGTCTGTGTTTAGTAATTTAAAGCACAAACAGAACTACGACAGTGTGTGTGTTTGCATGGGCACAGAGGATCGTTGCCTGAGGGTCTTACTGGAACAGAACAAAGATCACTAAGTGTCCTTTATTGGAGATAAAACGGACAGTCAAGGAACAAGATCAGGAAAAATGTGAGCATCCTCGTCTGTGCCTCCGCCTCTCGCTCGTTCCTTCCCTTATTTCTGCCTGTGACTTTGGACGTGATGATGGATAGAGCCTTTTGTCTCCATGACCCTCTGGTGTCACGCCTCTCTCTGGGAGCTGCTGATTCAGATGAAGACCAGAGGCTTTACAAAAAGAAACGCTCCGTGTGAATGTGATACTTTGGAGATGAACTGTTTGCACACACACACCAAGCTTCACTCCTTCCCCTTTAATGTCACGTTTTTTCTCAGTGCATGTGTTGAGGCTTCAGCTCCAGGTCTGTTTTCACAGGGTTTCTCCAAACTGTCAGTTTTTTAAACCCATTTTAATACTGTAAAGAATGAAATTTAATACCTTTTCCACTGTTGACGAATGATGGCCTGCACCTATTTATGAAGAATATGAATTTATAGACATTTACTGTGTATCATGTTGACCTACCAGCTGTACACAACAATAATAGTAACACAGTCCACAGGTTAAAGTGATGTGGGCCCATGTATGGATTACTAAAAGACTACAAATACAGACAGTACTGTCACCACTAAGATACATAATATGACTGTAAATAACATTTTTGTGTCTCTTTCAGTGCGGGGGTTTTATGTGGGGGAGGGGAGCTCGTCTGCTCATCAATTAGTTTAATCTGTCACTTGTGCGTTATGGATTGACGAGACTCTACTAACTGTCTCTGTGTCAGGCTGTGAGGTCGTAACCCGGGTGGCTGTACGTCCCCTCATACTTCTGATTTATCCACAGTTTTTAATGAACATGACAGACAGCGGGCTGTGCACGTGTCAGGGTACTCTCTGCCAAAGCAATACAGACTGAATATGAACTGAACTGAAACTGGCAATGAGCTGAATCACTGATGAAGACGCTCCTCCTCCTCCTCACCCCAGACTGATCTGATTTGTGTGAATACTGTGTGTGTGCGTGTGTGTGTGTGTGTGTATGTGTGTGTGTGTGTGTGTGTGTGTGACTGCGTTTGCTGCTGCATGTTTTTATAAATTGCCTTTGTTTTGTTTTTTAAAGCCAACAGACATTTGCTGGGCTGAAGCGTCCAGCGCTGTACAGACACGTAACACTGGCCAGTGCTGCTGTACAGTCCGGCCTTAAGCATAAACTAATCCTATTGCTTGTTGTTTTAAAGTCCATCTGAAATTAAAATGCCTGCTTTTCAAAAAAATATTTCCTTTTTCTGTTAATCTGGTCCTGATACATTGCTGTTCGTTGTAAATCGATGTCATTTCCAGGAGACAGGGCTGAACGGTCTCCAGCCTTGTTGTGGCTTTTTATCCTCTGACACAGAAGCTTCAGTGTAACTGGTGACACCCATGATAACCTCCTCCACTTTGGACTCTCTACAGCAGCTCTCTGCTCTCAAAGGTCAGGGCAGCTCGCTAATTTGTGTCAAAGCTCAAATCTGCTGCTGAAATTAATGAATTTCGCTGCATAATTTTGCAGTTTAACATTGTGGCATGACATAGCTTTAACCCCTCAGCTGTCAAACACAAACACAGGCACCTCAGAGCAGAAGCTTGAGGGTTAAAGGATGTTTTTCTGGTGGTTTTTGTGATCTCAGTTGGACTTTAAAGAGCCCATGGCTGCTTGTTTTACTCGTTTCCAGCCATTTAATGTTTAATCTTGGGTACCTCTAGATTAGCTTGGCACCCTCATAACTTAGTCTGTGATTATTACAGAATGATAAAACCAGAGAGCCTCCTCTTAAAAATGAGAGTATAGTTTGTGAACGTGCATAGCTTCTGTCGCTGGTGTTGTCGAGAGTGAACGGCACAATGAACCGCAATGGCATTAATCAATATGAACGTCTCCTCCATAGACAGGCAAACAATGGTATATGTACCAATGAAAACAGATGTGTAACACTGTAAACAAAGCAGGCAAGTGAGAAACCGTATATGTTATTCATTCATTCATTTTCTACCGTTTAGTCCCTGAACGGAGTCACGGAGCCAATCCCGGCCGGCAATCGGGCGAAGGCGGGGTACACCCTGGACAGGTCGCCAATCCATCGCAGGGCTAACACATAGACGAACAACCACACACACATGCACTCCTATGGGCAATTTAGAGACACCAATCAACCTAAGCTACATGTCTTTGGGAGGAAGCCGGAGTAAAAACAGTGAGTGCCTGTACAGGTACATTCCTGGACATGCAGTAACTTCAGGCCCTGGATTTGTCTCTACATCCTCTGGTCACAGGTTTTTTTTGTTTTTGTTTTTTTTAAACAAGCTTTATCGAAAATATAAATAACAAACAAGGCAAAATAACATTTTGCCAGTATAGTGGGGGCACTGGTGGATGTCAGGCAAACTCACAAGGGCCTGGAGATTATGACCATTCAAGGAAATCCTTAAACGTCCTATCCTACCACGTAACGCTTTATTTTGTTAGAAAAAAAGTCTCATGAGTGAGAGTTTGTGAGACGTGTATAAACTGAGTTGCTTCTGCATAGAAATACTAGGACATATGTTCACCTTGTTTTTGAGGTTTAGGTCACGTCTAAGGTGAGAATTCACTGTTGTAACATTGTTGACAAGTCAGAAAACAAGGAAAAGTGCCATGGGCTCTTTAAAGTTACATTAGCGATCAATGTGCCAACCAGTGGTGCCAGGTATCTGCCTTCTGCTCTTTTATTGCCATGTGCTCTGCTTTTATTTTGAAACTGCTTCATAAAAGGTTAAATAAAGGACATGGTGAGCCCATATATACACTGCTAATGGTTGCTTGCTTGTTTCAGAGGAGAGTGCGTGGGTTTGATTATGAGCACTTACAGAGCAAAGAATAATGGAATCAGACAATTCACCATCACTGCTGTTTGTCACCATGTTATAGGAGAATGGTTGTTGTCTGCTTCACTGACCTTTGACCTGAATATAAGTAATTCTGACATGGATATAAAGAATAGTCGACTTTCAGACAGGGCTTTGGCATCCGATTCTTAAATAAACTTTAAATGATCAAAAGTGACCAAATATCCCCAAAGTAAAGAAATAAAGCTAAAACATCAAAGTGCTAATAATTAACTGAACAATTTGTGTTGTTTACCACAGTTTATGTTTTACACTGAAGACAAGCTGATGATTTAAAGGTAATGAAAGCTGTTGTAAAGACTTAGGACAGCTCTTAAACAAACAACACCAATGCACTATTTCTTCCTGTTTGATAAAAACTACAGTGAGCAGCTGTTTCAGGAAACCACAGAGCTTTTTACAAAACACAAAACTTCTGTTGGTTTCCACAGTACTTTCTTCATATTAATCTAAAGAATGACTGTAGAGTAGACATGATCAAAATACACACAAACCAAAAATACCGTGAAAATACGACAGTGTCGCCTCTACAAAAGAAAAAGAAACACAAAAATACAACATACTGTTTGTTAGAATACAGTACTCACTGCATATTCCCCCTGGTGACACATTGAAATTGGTTCATTTGTTACACAATATAAGGATAAGGACCATCACCTTTATAACAGAGACAACCAATAAAATGTCTCCTTACATGTATTTGTATTGGACAAACAGGAGCGATAAGGTGACGGGCGACACGGTTTAGGGTTAGTGAGAGGTCAGTGGTTTTAGTTACGATTATGGTGAGTCTCCAGGAAATTAATTTACGTAAAGTCCTGACGAGGAATGAAAACCAACGTGTGTGTTGGTGTGTGTGTGTGTGTGTGTGTAATCCAATTGTGGTCGGTTCAAACAAATAAGGACGTCATCCTGTTAGAAAGTACCTGTTGTGCTCGGGGGTCTGCTGTGACACGGTTAAATGTCAGAGCCCATCTCTCAGAGACTATCAGGGTGAGACACACACACACACACACACACACACACACACAGAGCAACAGTAAATGCCATTTTTATTTTAACTTTAGACACTGAAGGCGGCTGTAACTGATTTTTTTATGACATCGTGAAACCGGTGTCTTATGCTCAGGCAGAAACCGATCAGCTGACTGTGCAGCTGAGTTTTACAGTGACCTTCAGCTCATTTAATTTTAATAACATATACAGTCATGTGAAAAAATTATAATTAACTGAACAATTTGTGTTGTTTACCACAGTTTATGTTTTACACTGAAGACAAGCTGATGATTTAAAGGTAATGAAAGCTGTTGTAAAGACTGTCAGTGATATAGAAATTAGGACAGCTCTTAAACAAACAACACCAATGCACTATTTCTTCCTGTTTGATAAAAACTACAGTGAGCAGCTGTTTCAGGAAACCACAGAGCTTTTTACAAAACACAAAACTTCTGTTGGTTTCCACAGTACTTTCTTCATATTAATCTAAAGAATGACTGTAGAGTAGACATGATCAAAATACACACAAACCAAAAATACCGTGAAAATACGACAGTGTCGCCTCTACAAAAGAAAAAGAAACACAAAAATACAACATACTGTTTGTTAGAATACAGTACTCACTGCATATTCCCCCTGGTGACACATTGAAATTGGTTCATTTGTTACACAATATAAGGATAAGGACCATCACCTTTATAACAGAGACAACCAATAAAATGTCTCCTTACATGTATTTGTATTGGACAAACAGGAGCGATAAGGTGACGGGCGACACGGTTTAGGGTTAGTGAGAGGTCAGTGGTTTTAGTTACGATTATGGTGAGTCTCCAGGAAATTAATTTACGTAAAGTCCTGACGAGGAATGAAAACCAACGTGTGTGTTGGTGTGTGTGTGTGTGTGTAATCCAATTGTGGTCGGTTCAAACAAATAAGGACGTCATCCTGTTAGAAAGTACCTGTTGTGCTCGGGGGTCTGCTGTGACACGGTTAAATGTCAGAGCCCATCTCTCAGAGACTATCAGGGTGAGACACACACACACACACACACACACACACACACACAGAGCAACAGTAAATGCCATTTTTATTTTAACTTTAGACACTGAAGGCGGCTGTAACTGATTTTTTTATGACATCGTGAAACCTATTTTAATAATAAAATGAAAACTTCTTTCATATAATTGGGCACAATATGTGCTTGAGAAAAGATTAAAAAATACAGACAGCTGTAATAACATGAACTATGTGCTGATAAGTACGACACCATCCATTATCTATATCACTTATCCCTGAACAGGGTGATGGGGGGGGCTGGAGCCAATCCCAGCTTACACTGGGCGAGAGGCGGGGTCAACCCTGGACAGGTCGCCAGTCTGTCACAGGGCTGACATGTAGACAAACAACCACACACACTCACATTCACTCCTACGGGCAATTTAGAGTCACCAAT